TAAAATCCCACCACCAATTCAAAGACAAGTACTTGACTGATCCTTAGAAATTATTCAGGATCAAATACAAGTAATAGTAGGTATAAAATCAGACGACAAATTAGATAACAGATTGTTTAAATACTCTTCTTTTTACAACATATCATTCCATATCCCCTAAAAGGCTAAAACATTAGATAACAGATTGTCTTTTCCCCTACCTCATGCATCTAAATTTTCCATTTGAATGCTACTTTTGAGAGGTACATACTCACCAAGATATCCACCCAAATGGTCATGTAAGGCGAGCTTATCAATTCCCTGATGGTGAAAGCTCTTGCAGACATAGTAAAACACACTCTGAACCAACAATCCCACCAAGTTCACAATCACCAAAACGCCAACCAGAAAGCCACCAACGATAATCCTCATAAAAACCCCATGTCCATCATCGCCGTGAACGACCACAGCCCCAAATATGACATTAATTGTAGCGCAGATGGCCAAATACGCAAATACAAGCACCGCCGCAAAACGGGTTTTGCCCATAAGCAATTCGTAGCTCTTTTTCATGGCGGCAAATCCATAAATCGGTTCAAGCACCGACACGACGCTAGCCAAATGCCATAAGGCGGTGATGTAAACATGTACAACTAGAAACAGGATGAAGATTACAACAACGGAGAAGAAGAACAAAATGTAATTCTGGGTGTCAATTGCAAGGATAAGGAGTATCAAGAAGACGAAAAAGATGAAGTTATAGATAATCATGAGGAGAGAAACCCAGAGGAAAGTGACGAAAAGGCGCTTAAAAACCTTGGGAATGGCGGAGATAGTTGAGGAATAGGAAACGGGCTTGGAAGTATAGAGGGAAGCGACGGTGAAGACGACGGCGGCGGTGGAGAGAAGAGAAAAAGCGAAGAGGAAAATAAGGTAGCAGAATTGGAAGGTAAGGAGCTCGGTCCATCGATGGCGGGTCTGAGCGGGGTCGGCGAAAGGGTTTTGGAGCTGGACGAGAAGTGGGTGGGTGAAGAGGGAGTGGGCTAAAATGGCGAAAGAAAGGGGGAAGATGAAGGTAAGAGTTATGAGATAGAAGGTTTTAGGGGAGCGCTTCGGGATGAAGATCGATTCTCTGAGAATGTCGGGAATGGTCAAGAATTGAAGCTCTTCTGGGGCTAGATCCATGGCTTCTTTCAATGGTAAATCTTCGATTTCGAGGTTGAAATGTTTCGAGGAAGACGAGGAAGAGGGATCTAATTCGAAACAAAATTAGGTCAAATGGATAAGAACAGATCGGACATGGAAGAAGATCTTGAAATTTGCAGACAGAGGGGAAATTGGGGAAGACGGAGGTGGAGTCAACAGCGCGAAAAGTGACGATGCCCACCGCCACGATCCCATTTTATTTTTTTTTATTTTTATTTAATTATATGATATAAATTAAAATCTGATATATTTACACATCAAAATTAAATTCAGCATTATACAAAAATGAGATTATAAATTAATTATATTCCAACATAAATATGATTCTTTTAGTAACTATGATTTTTGGTAAATGAATTTGAATTTAATTGGTATCTAAAATTGGAAATTGGTTTCTAATATTCAATGAACAATAAAGATTCTTAGTTGACCTAATTTAATGATATAATATTTTATATATTTTTACCTAAATTTTGTTTCCATGCATGTTTTAAACGAGTATGCTTTTTATTTTATTTTTTATACTCAAAAATATAAATTAAATTAAATTTATTGTTTTTAAAACTTTACAAGAAATTTCAAATTAAATTTATCTGCCAAACACAAACCAATTCGCAATTAACAAAGATAGGATCAGTAGTGACAAATCATTTAGAGAAGAAAAAGAGGATTCTGAACGTCTAAGGAAGTGGACGGTGAGATCCCACAATAATTAGAGAAAATAAAGCATTATTCATAATGTACTGTGATGTCCCATATTGGTTAGGAGGAGAACAAATCACCGGTGTGGAAACTTTTCCCTGGCAAACGCGTTTTAAAGTGCTGAGGAGAAGCCCGAAAGGGAAAGTCCAAAGATGACAATATCTGCTAGTGGTGGATATGGATCGTTACAAATGGTATCAGAGCCAGACACCAAATGATGTGTCAACCTTCTCGCTGTTCCCCGAAGGGGGTAGACACGAGGCGGTGTGCCAGTAAGGACGTTGGACCCCGAAGGGGGGTGGATTGTGATGTCCCACATTGGTTGGGGAGTAGAACAAATCACCCTTTATAAGAGTGAGGACAATATTTGCTAGCGGTGAATCTAGGTCGTTACGTGTATAGAAAGTCAAGTCCAAGGAAAACAAAATCTGTTAACCGTCAATTTAGGTCGTTACATTCTATCAACTCGTTGTCGATGGTCTTAAGCGAGCCGAACGTGACATATTGAAGGGTGGCGTCAGACAGGATCGGATCGACAGTGACAAATAGTTGGTTATTATTGTTTCCACCGTTTGAATATATGGTGCTTATGAGGCAAAATTATGGAAAATCAGTTTCTATGAACCTTGCTTTATTCAAGAGTAGAACACATTCAATCTTACACTTAGTTCTTACAAATATCATATTTTATTTGGTCTGAAGATCATCAGATTCTGTCTTGAGCTGTTTCTCAATCCTTGAATTTCCCAAACCACATCTTTCTTCCAACCAACCAATTATGTCAGCAAACACAACATCAATGTTTTCAACTGTCTCTCCATACAGCAATCCATGCCACATCTCTGGATATGTCTTCAAGCTCTTGTCCCAGCTCGACGCCTTCTCAAGGAGTTGCTTGCTCACCGATATATCGGTCACTCGATCCACCTCCCCATGGAGGATTATGAACGGTAACGAAACCTATTAAACTACCACTGAACTCAAAAGCTCGAAAAGGATCAATTCATTCAAACAACGAAGAAATAGCAAACCTCTTCGAGACGTTTCTCGAGATCTAAACTGATCCTTAGAAGTTCATTTCCAGTGTTCAAACGAGGCCTCCCTTTGAAACAATAAGGATTATTTCTGACCTGTTGATTTCATTATCATTAATATAAACAGTTTTACATTGTAAAAACAGAGGAGATTAATAATTATTACCTGATGTCTAATCTCAGGAACTTTGAAAGCAACATCAATGATATCTTGGGTTGGAATTATCTTCCATGTGGGTATCACTTTGCAAAGCTTTGCCAGTATATTTACAACAATTGGCTTTGGTTTAACATCCTCTGCAATCTGCGAAAAACAGGGGAATCTTTTGAGCTACAAAGTTTAAACTCATTCAAAAACAGAGCCAAGACATGGGCATACTTTACACATTGGTGCAACCAAGACAGCGCCATCCCAATAATCTGGCTTCTTTCTGTGCAATAACAGAGCCACTGCCCCTCCCATTGACTCCCCCAATAGATACCTTCTTTTGCCCATGTTCTCTTTCCTTTCTGGGTATTAAAAAACATAGTTTTTAACGAAGACCCATGTAAAAAATTTCACTTAAAACCCATAAAAATGGAATCTTTTGCATTGGGAAGATAAGATACCAGAAGTGGCTGTGAAGTGATTGGAGCAATCCTCCACCACATGATCAAAGCTTGTAATATAGCCTTGCAGCCCATCTGATTTCCCATGGCCTTCGTAATCAATCCCATAAACCGCAAACCCTGCCCTTGCAAGCCGAATTGCAGTGCCTATAAACCAAATCAATTATAATTTGATCTTAGGAATATAATGTTTCAGGTGGTGGAAGGGTGTTTACTGTTCATGGTGATGCTGCATTCCATCGCGTACCCATGGCAGATAAAGATCAAGCCCTTTGGTTCCTTATCCTTTGGAAGCCATTCGCACGTGAAAAGCTTCAACCCACGTGAGTTCATCATAAACCCCTGCATAACCGAGTTCGATATTAACTAATTTAGAGAACGACCATAGATTTACAAAGTTACTAGAATTTATACTCAAACTGGACAATATCAAGGGTAGGCTAACCTCTTGATACACGAGCCCATCCCGTGTTCGAGCTGCCTGCAACACATTAAAAAACGAGTTAGAGAGAGAAAACGAGATAGAACAGAGAGGAAGAGAGAGAAAGAGACCATGGAGGAGGATTTTTCTTAGCAGAAAAACGAAGAAGATTGGATATTTGTGAAGCCCCACTTGTAAGCTTTTAAAGGCTTCGAGGATTGGAACAGCGCAGGCGACTGCCTGTGCATGTCGAGTAGCCTCGTTGGACTTGTTTTGGTTCACCACGGCTTAGCCAATCATTTCCTTGTCAACTTTCTAAATAAGGCGAAATTGCCCATAAAGATTTTAGCTCTTTCTGGGATAATTTTGTTTCAAATTACTTTCCGTTACAATCATTTGATAAGATATTGTTTAATTATTAAATATTTATTAGAATTTTATTTTTTCATGATTTCGTCATTAATACTAATTACTTTGGCATTAAACGTAGTTAATTAAATGTAATTAAGAAGATTTAGATGTCAATCAAAAATGTTTTTTTATTATTATTTATAGATATTTTAGTGTTTAATGGTAATTTTAAAGAATGTTTTAAGTAATTAAATACATTTTCCAAAACTGTCAATGATTATGTAATAACTATTTTAGTTAAAATTATTCAAACTATGTGAGGGAATAATTTTATAAATTTAGTTATATATTTATTAAAATTATATTTTATATAATCATTTTAATATTTGAATATACCATATCCTACTCTAATTATAAATAATTTTTATATTTTTTTTAAAAAAATTTATTTAGAGATAGATTTGATTTTTAGAAAATAAAATAAAATAAAATAAAATAAAACTAATTTTTATATTTGTTTTAATAAAATTATTTAGAGATTAATTGTAAACTATAATTAAATATTTAACTTATTTTAATATGAGAAAAATCAACAAATAAAAAATCGAAATTGGATTGGGCAGTGTCTGTCACCGTCAGTCACAGTCGGTTAATTTGGCTCCAATCCATGAGCGCCTCTTTGACGACTTTTTGCAAGCTTCTATCAAATGATAAAAAGTTCAGCATGATTTTTTTTTTTGGTTTTGTTCGAATCTGGAGAAAGTTTGGCTGTTGTTGCTCTAATCGACATTGGGTATTGTTTGGGGTTTTGTTGACGTTGTGTTGTATTGAAATTTTTGAATAATCGGTGGAGGGACTTGTGTTCTTCGATTGATCCGAGACGAGAATGTCTCAGGATTTGTCATTGGATCAAGACCTGGATGAATCTGATCCCGAGTTCGTGGAGATTGATCCTACCGGTCGATACGGACGGGTATATACTCATACAGCTTGTTCGATTTTGCATTCTAGTTGACATTTTCGATTCATACTACTTCGATTGGTTCTTGCTCATCCTTTTTCTGATTGATTGGAGGCTCGTGCATGCTTATGTGGGATTGAACTTATATTTACTGTTTGATCATATCTTCTAATCTTCGGCTGTTTTGCAGTATAAGGAAGTTTTAGGAAAAGGGGCATTCAAAAGGGTGTATCCTTCTTTGTTTTGATGTTATTGGTTGTGATACAATCAAAACTGTAATTTCTTGTGTTTTCCATTTTATACTGATTCTATCAAAGAAATTAGAATGTGTATCATCCGTCTGCTGCATTTGAGATGAAATTATTGTGGTAAATTGTGTGTTCTTCATTAAAATGTGGTATATAGATATCGGGCTTTTGATGAGTTGGAAGGAATTGAAGTAGCTTGGAATCAGATTAAGGTAACAGATTTATTGAGGAACTCTGATGATTTGGAGCGACTATATTCAGAAGTTCATTTGCTTAAGACATTGAAGCACAAGAACATAATCAAATTTTACAGTTCATGGGTTGATACGAAGAACGAAAACATCAACTTCATTACAGAGATATTCACTTCAGGGACACTGCGACAGTAAGCCATGTACCCTGGGCTCTTCAGAATTTGTTTTTCTTCTTTAACTATGATACTTAAACATATATTGTGAATGTGTAGATATAGAAAGAAGCACAAGCATGTTGATTTGAGAGCACTGAAAAAATGGTCGAGGCAGATATTAGAGGGCCTTCTGTATCTTCATAGTCATGACCCTCCAGTTATACATAGAGATTTAAAATGTGACAATATCTTTGTCAATGGCAACCAAGGTGAGGTGAAAATCGGTGACTTAGGACTTGCTGCCATTCTTCAGCAAGCTCGTTCAGCTCACAGTGTCATTGGTGAGAATTCTAAACTTAAATAAGCAATCAAAATTACTTCATATGAAAGTTGAGTACACATTTTCGGTGTAGTGAAGCGAATAAAAGAACTTATTTGTGATTTAATAATTTTAGGAACACCCGAGTTTATGGCTCCAGAGTTTTATGAGGAGGAATACAATGAACTTGTGGATATTTATGCCTTTGGCATGTGTTTGCTTGAGCTTGTAACCTTTGAATATCCATATGTTGAATGTGCCAATGCTGCTCAAATATATAAGAAGGTCACATCAGTAAGGGCTCCTGGATCTTTTTTTTTTTTTTTTTTTTTTACTTATGTATTCCATGTTGTACCTACCATGAAGATCACTCTTTGATAAAGTATGGATACGATATGCATAATGCTGCATTTTAGGTTCTATTAGGACTAAACACCATATAATATAGGAAATAGTATTGCGTTTCATCGTGTACATTGTTAAACTCAATTTTTTCTATGTTTAGCGTTATACATTTGATTTACCTTCACACTTGTAATGTGTTGACTTTAAAAGAAATCTCATAATCAGTCACTTTTAAGATTTGATTCAGTTGCGGAAACTTATAGTTTGTGATAAAGAAGCAGTATAATCTTCTTGTCTATTCAATCTTTTTGACGATTGAGCCATTCGTTTTTTATACATGGTCTTCCATGGAGCCTTGGTTTCTAGTGGACTTTTCTAGCATTTAAACAAAGAGCTCTACGTGTGTTTCCATGTGATCTGTTATTTTGTGCGTGCTGTTTCTTTTTTCTTTTTCCCCGCTTCATTTTTAGAATGAACCACTCATTGTCTAAAGTATTGTTCTAAATTTTAGCGGCCAACTTGCAGCATGGAAAATTTAGAATATTCTACCAAATAAATGGGGATTATGGATGTAGTTCAAGTTGGTAATGGTAAATATTTGAAGTCCTAAATGTTAAAAAAGTTGTCTACAATTCAATACGTCTTAACTTTTAAAGTAAAATATTTTATGTCCAGATTTGGATCGGTTGTTACTTAACCTTGTTCTTTTGCAGCTTCTTTAAATAGAAATATTCCTTGTGAAGGTTTGTAAGGAATTATTATTTTCCTTTTGTTCCTAGGGGATTAAACCAGCTTCACTGGCAAAAGTCACCAATTTAGGAGTTAAAGCATTTATAGAAAAATGTATTGCAAATGTCTCTACTCGCTTGCCTGCAAAAGATCTTTTAATGGATCCATTTCTCCAAGCAGATGATGATCATGAAAGTATACCTCGTAATCTACAATCAAAGAATACAGGCAAGGTTATAAAAGTACTTCTCCTTCGATAGAAACTTTGGGATTGTAACATATTGTTCTTTTATTGCATGATATCATTACTGAAGGAAGAAAAGAGCAGATTGATTTTGTCGATGATACTTCTGCTGAGACTTGTAGAGATTTTAGTATGCATGGTCAAAGAAAAGATGTTAACAAGATATTTCTCAAACTACGAATTGCAGATTCCATGGGTAAAATTCATATTTGTTGTCATTTCTTTGTTTTTGTAGATTCTTTAGGAGAAAAACTACTATTCTGGAATTGTCAGTACTTCATTAACAAAATTTTCAATTATTATAGGTAATTTTCGCAATATCCATTTCCCATTTGATACTGAAGCTGACACAACAGTTTCTGTTGCTAGTGAAATGGTTGAGGAGTTGGACCTTTCTGATCAAGATGTCTCCACAATTTCTGAAATGATTGAAACAGAAATTCGATCTTACATTCCAGATTGGACATCAGTTGAGAATTCTGTGGATAATGTAGGAGTTGATGTTGCAATTTCTGATAGCTCGACGTCTGACACAAAGAATGTTTCCTCTCCATTGTCTATTGAATCTAATAATCTTGCTTTGGAGGTATTGCCTTCAGGTCGCAAGTATTGGTCGGACTCTCCAAAAGGTATTGGTGGGTGCTCTCCTATTAAGCCAGGTCCTTCAAACTTGTCTCTTACCTCAGATCAGAATGTTGAATCCTCTAGCAGCCACATACTTGGGAATAATCTTGATCATTCTGCAATAATTAAGGGACTGGAAAGTGAACTTTTGTCAGAGGGTGATATTCATGATAGCTCTGAGGCACATCTTTTAGAAGAAAACTGTTCTGATGAATCAGTTGACCTCAAAATAATGGCTGAGAAACTTAAAAATCTGTTGACACAACAACAAAAGGAATTAGATGAACTAAAGAGAGAGCATAAATTAGTTGTTTCAGAACTTCTCACTGAACTAACACCTGAATCTTGTCAGAAGGTTTTAGGGATGTGTAAGCTAAAGCGTTCTGATTTTGCGTTTTATCTCTGAAATGCATTGCAAATTCAAGCTTAAGATCATGCTACTGTGTCCAGAATGTAACGGTATCTCATTGCTCTCGAATGTAAATCAGTTTACACAAATTCTCGTTTGGTGAAGATTAGTTTCTAATTTTCAAATTAGCTTTTTCTACCTTCGAAGTTGGAAGATGAATCTTCTAGCCAATTGATCCAGTTATGAGGCATGGGGAAGCATGATGCTGAAAGATGTTAGAGAGGTTGACCAACGAATTGCGAAGCTGTAAACATCAACTGGTTAAACCATCACTCCCTGGTATGTCTCAGACATCCCTCATGAAGCAATTTGTGCACAAAATGCATAAAGATCTGCCACCAATGTTCTCTTCTTTCTAGTATAGAATAGGTTGGACACTATTCTATTATGTATTGTGATGATGATATTGCAAATGTCGGAAATTGTTTAGAAGATATTGAGCCAAGAGAGAAGAAAAGACGCTACACACTGAATTTTCATTAGTATTCTATATAACTTAGATAGTTGAAATTCTTTTAGATAGTTTCTTTGTACAGCGTGCCACATCCATTTCTCCTAGTTTCTTCTTCGACAACAACTTTTCCGTGCTATGCTTGTTCTTCCACATTCTCCCTGGTTGAATTGTCCAATTGCTTGTTTCATTTTCCCCGATATTGTGATGCTTATGAACAATTTCTCTTACAGGTTTCAGTTTTATTTTGATCAAAAGCATACATATATAGACCTAAGATTTAGCTACATTGCCAGACAAAGGGCTAAAATTCTCTAGGTTTACTCATGATTATGAAGTACTCATCTAAGGATTTGCTGGAAATGATTCTACTCATGTTGTGTCGAATATCACATTATAAAAAGTTTTGGATATGCTCGAAATGATTCTACTCTGATATATCCTACCTATAGTACACATCAAGATAGCTGTTGTAATAATATTCTTACGTAAACTGCTGTTACTAGTTAAAGAAGTTCCACTCTCTACCAAGTTTGCAATGATACATTTTACATATATACGTATATGTAAAACCCCAGCTTTTGCCACAATGTTGACAAGATGTATCAACAGGAAGATGAACACAAATGATACCTATGGCATAACTGATATCTGAAATATTTCCTATCAAAATCAAGCACCAGTGATGGAACACTATGCCAATCGATCGATACAACGATGAATATTAACTGCATCACCACGAAAGCAATCAGGGGAGATGAAGAGACCTAAAAAATGGTTGATGTGATTAATTGTTGTACAAAAGATGCTCTCTGATTCAACTCTTCACTGTTCTGGTTCCTTTCCAGCAAGTGTGACCTATTACTGCAAAACCCGGAAAGAAAATCGGAAGAAGAACCATTAGTTAGTATTATGCTGAGCTATCACATCACCTAAAGCACAGTTGACGAGTGAGAATCGTGATGGTATGTATCAAAGAAGATTGTAATGGCAAACTATATGCTTGATAAGATGTTGCAAATATATTGGCTTAAGTTCGTATCAGTAGGATGTAAGTACTTCAAGAATTTCAATTTGTCCCATCAGTTTGTCAGGAATCTTCTTCTTTTGCTTTTGCTTTACTCTTCTTGGATCCTTACAAACCACTATTGGAAAAGTACACTTCAACCAGGAAAATGGCTTCTTCATCTCCCAAGTTAAATGGTGATCACAGGAAGTATATCCATTTTGCAGGTTTAGCTTTTAGCAAAAGGCAGGCCAATAAAACTGAAAGTGTAAGTGTGAAATCCTGTGAGGATAACGAATCATTCTTATTCTTTATAAAGGTGTGAAAACTTCTTTTTAGCAGACGCGTTTTAAAAACCTTGAGGGGAAGACGGAGAAGGGAAAACTCAGAAGGACAATATTTGCTAGCAGTGTGCTTGGGCCGTTGCAGTACGTTCATGGACATGATTTGTAGACTTCAAAAGATCTAGCAATCGAAACTCACCTTACGACATTAGCGGCAGTGACGGAGTCATCGTTTACTGAATCGTCATCTCTCTCGACAGATTCAGGGTCTGAGAAAGGAATGCTGCAGATGAAGGGTAGAAGAGGGTCAGGTGCAGATCCATTCTTTTCCCTCCTGCTCTTTGTTGTCAGCTTCTTGGAACTAAATGCAGCAGATACAGGTTTCTCAGGCTTTCTCCTCCTCTGCAAAGATGGTAAACATTTTACTTTAACCAATTATTCACTATTGCAGCCATGAAAGCAATGAGTTAGAGCAGACAATACCTTTATTGAGCTTGAATGATGCGCTATAAAATGCCCAATTACATCTTTCCCCAGACTGGCTGCACATAGCGGACAAACCTGAGAGAAAGCAACGTCAAAGCTTTCGGTTTCACTTCATGGAACAGTTTCATAATCAGTCAAATATAACAAGCAGCAAGCACAAAGTTATTATTACTCATACGCCACAAGAAGTAATCATTGAATGAAGAACAGAGGAAAGAAAAAGGATATTAAAAGCATGTAATTACTGCATTTCTGAAGTCAAAGCAGTGCTCTTCTTGCAAATGGCTGCAAAGTACTTGAACTTCGATATCCACATAACAGTAAGGGCATGAAAAGTAAGCTCGTGTATCATCTTCTCCATCAGAGTCATCCAGAATTATATGGTTACCTATCCAAAGTACCATCAAATAAGCCATGAAATTCAAAAGAAACAGAGCTCAATTCACACTAAAAACAGTGAAATCAGAATTCAGAATGTTAGTTTAAAGAGTAACCCCCTCCGCCGACCTCCAAATCTTCAATTTGGTTGCTAACCAAGAGTGGAAAACCGAACAGAGTAGGAAATGAAGGCAAAATCAAGAAACCCAGATGAGAAAATCACTCAAAAAGCTAAGAACACAAGTACCAGAATGAAGCATGGCGGCTTGAACAGCAGAAAGTTGCTCAGTGCGATGAACCCTTGAGGCCCAAAAATTGAACTCCATAGCTATTACCTCTGGTTGATTCTGTGTTTCAGAGCAACTGGGAAGTCAGATTCTGAGACGACAAGTGTGTGAAATGAGCAATCAGGCAAATGGGTGTCGATAGCTTTGGGAAGAAGAAAGAAAGCTAGAAGGAAAAAACTATCCTTGTCATCAGCAGCCTGGGCCTGGTGGATGGGTTGTGAGGTGCGGTGTCTGCTTGTTCATATACTGACCCAATTCTCTCCAAAAGCCAAAAGCTTTCTGACACACAAAAGCTGCTTATCTATTGGACGACACGTCGATTTTACCAAAAATTCTCACTTTTTTCCTCTCATTAATTAATCATCTTCACCTACAATCTGCCAAGAACTTAAACAGCTTTAACCAAAAGCAGCCAACAAAAATCAAATTTTTTAAGAACGAGAAAGGTTTAAAGAATTAAGGTTTGGAAGAGACAACCTAACAGAGGCATGAGATTACAGCTCAGCAAAAGTTTTTTTTTTTTTTTTTTTTTTTTTT